ACCTGCTTCCCAGACAGACCCTGGCTTAGTAGTGCCTGTGTTCTTCTATCTGTGGCCATAGCTCATGCTCAGCATCCTCTCCTACAGCTATTGTGACCATAGCTCATGCTCAGTGTTCTCTCCCATAGCTATGCCCTTTGCTTGGTTCTATAATCCCCGCCCTCCTGGGCTAGGGGTGGCAAGAGCTTCCCTTTTGTCAGCCCTGGGAGGTTCACTACCTATTGTTTTCCCTTAATGCTACCCTCTTTAATAGTCCCCTTCTGTAATAGTTTCTTGGTTAATAGTCTCTTCACTTACCATTTTGACTTGCCATCCATTCATTTTCTCCCAGGGCCCTGACTCAGTTTTTTTCCTGGCTATGTTTAATTTGTGCATATATTAATCTATATTTGTTATGTATGTAACTTCTGTTGGTATGTTTGCATAGCTATACCTGTGGGCTAAGGACTAAGACTTGTAAATGTCTTTGGGTAAAAAGAACAATTAATATACCCACAAATGGTACTTATTTATACTTCTAATCTCAAAACTAACTGTTAATTATTAATTAAGACCTTTTATCTTCACTGGAAGTTTTAAAATGAGAAAATAGTGGCTAAGTGTAGTTTCCTAATATGAAATACAAGACAATATTCAAACATTTATGAAATATAATTCCACTTTCCACTTTTACTTTCCTATTAATTATTAGCTCTGGGCAAAACATTAAATCAAATATAGTATAAATTTGCCTGCTAATCTTTGCTTGTTTTCCAGTGTATAGTCTTTGCCTATAATGTATATAATTACATGCCATATAGAAGGGAAAAAAATAAAATATTTTGAATACATTGGGATACCATTTTGTTTTCCAAGTACACATTGACTTAACCCCTTCCCTCCTAACCCTCCAAACTAGCTCATTGCTAGAACAAACACTTACTGAACACTTGTTATGCATCAGCATTGTGTTCAGTGATGTGGGACAATCAGGAAATTCATGGGAAATCATATTCTGGATTCTAGAAGACTCCTTGACATTGTCACACATCCATTAAGCATTGGTTAGTAAGAATCAAAATGAAAACCCAGGTCTTGTGGTTCTGGTTTAATCTTTCTTTTCTTAAAACTGCACCATACTCAGTGGGTACTGGGTCCCTGGCCAACCAAATGTTAGAAGACAGGAGAAAAGCAGTCTTCATCCATCCTTAAAAAATTGTTCATTTTTTCTCTGGGTAAGTGGTAAAGTTACAGACTTCATAGCTCTTTAAAATAAGCTCAGGGTAGTTGATAAATAAAAACACATAGATATTTCACATCTGTAGCTGCTTATTCATTCATTCCTCATACTGTGGGGTAGAAAAGCCCTAAAGACACATGCTAGGCCCTCCATATTTAATTGCTTTCTGAAAATATTTAACAAATATGTCTTAATGAATTACAAGGCCATTTAAAAGACTGTATCATAGGCACTCATCTCCCAAATTTCCCCCAAAAACAGAAGCTTGTTTTGGCATTGCTTATAGAAGATCTCTAGGTTCATGTGTGTGTTGGGTGGTTAAGGGAGAAGAGGAGAATGGAATATTAAAACAAGTGGATTGGACTGGTTTGTTGAGAGAGCCTTGGATAGAAAAGCCAAATGAAAGATGAAAGAAATAGTGACTACTGACAATTCTTTGACTCTGTTAAGTGAGAACATAGGGTATTTAAGATTCCCACAATTATTTATCATAGTTTCGTAAAATGTAGCTACAGCTTTTACAAGTATTAATGGAGCTTATTTCTTTAATGATTTTTTAAAATGTATTCATTTGAGAGAGAGAGAGAAAGGGAGAGAGCACGAGCAGAGGGGAGAGGGAGAGGGAGAAGCAAACTCCCCCTGAGCCAGGAGCCCGATGTGGGACTCGATCCCAGGACCTGGAGATCAAGACCTGAGCCAAAGGCAAATGATTAACCATCTGAGCCACACAGGTGCCCCTTAATGGAGCTCATTTTTAATTTTTGGCTGTAATCAAGGGAAATGGGAATGATTTTAGATGTTAGGGAACATCTAATTAGAGGGGCTTTTTGTTGGTTTTGGGGGGTTAGAATCATTAAGAGTAACCTCAAACCTGGAATAAGATAATGGAAAGATGGATGGATAGATAGATACATAGATAGATAGTTAGATAGATAGATCCTATATCTATCTATCTATCTATATATATATAGAGAGAGAGAGAGAGAGATCACAAAGTGTAAAAATTACTTTAATCAATATTACATTCCATTGTTCAACCACAGTTTCAAGGGCTGATGTGGAATGCTGACGTATTCTTGACAATTGTTATATTGGATTCCTTGTGCTCTGTGTTATAGGCTCTTCCACTTGAACTAAGGCAAAAAAAAAAAGGTGACATAAAATTATTTATTCTTTGACATATTTGCTGACTACTACTTCCTGAAAATCATTGAGCTACTACCTTGGTGAAACACTTAATAGGGGTAGCTTCTTCAAAGTCAGCTCACCTTGGGCTTCAGATCAATGTTGTGCTTCCTGGCAGTAAGGATAAAAAGGAAATCAGAGTAAATTACACTGTTCTCGTATTATACAAAAGAAGGCCACAAATTAGCTCTTCCAGAGAGACAAAAATCTTTCCTAGTAATAAATCCTAAAAAATGTCTACTTAGTGAAAAAAAGAGAATGTATTTTCTTACTGTAAATTTAAAGGATTATATAAACAATTCAACTCTTCTTAAGTTGTGATTCCCAAGAAAAGAAATTACCTTAATGACTCTTCATTTGTCACCTCCAGAAACAAGCAGTTTGAGTATTTCTTTTATTATGATGTATTAGAACTTCATTAATAAGGAAGCCTTACAAGTAGCCTATCATTTTTTGAGAAAGATCACACTGTGCTAAATAATGAGATATGGGAATACATTGAACAGCTTGACTTCTGCTGACTTTTACTTAAGAGTGTGAAGTGTTTTAAATTAGACTATGTTAGTATTGATGAAACGTGCACAAGGGGGAAAAATAATTTAAAGGCTTTGTTCCATCTTGAGATCTAGATAAATTGTATAATTTAAAAATAAATCACTGTGACCTGACGGCAAGGAAAAACAACTCTCTCGTGTGCTGTCGGAGGGAGTGGAAATTGGGGCAACCTTTTTGGAAGCCAATTCAGTAATACCTATCATTTTTACATTGCATTTATTCATTGATCTGGTAATTACACATACAGACTAGACTTTGACCCTAGATAAATTTGTAAAAGTACACCAAAATAGATTTAGAAGAGCATTCATTGTGCAGTGTTTTTGAAATAACAAAAGGAAAAATTACAAATATAATCTGCATACACAACAATAAGAGAATGATTAAATCAAAGGCATATCCATTTAACAGCACACCCTAAGCCATTAAGAAGTATAATGTAATTCTTTTTTTCAAAGATTTTTTATTTATCTGACAGAGGGATAGCATAGCGAGAGAGGGAACACAAGCAGGGAGAGTGGCAGAGGGAGAAGCAGGCTCCCTGCTGAGCAAGGAGCCTGATGCCCTCTCGATCCCAGGACTCTGGGATCATGACCTGAGCCAAAGGCAGACACTTAACGACTGAGCCACCCAGGCGCCCCAAGAATTATAATGTAATTCTATGTATGCTCAAATGGAAAGGATTCCAGAATGGATTGGTAGGTAAACATGCCAGCCATAGACCATTATACAGCAATCCCCCCTTATCTGCAGGGGATGTGTTCCAGGACCCCCAGTGGATGCCTCAAACCACAGATAGTACCAAACCCAAATGTACTGTTTTTTCTTATACATGCACACCTAAGATAAAGTTTATTTTATAAATTAGGCACAGTAACAGATTAACAACAATAACTAATAATAAAATAGAGCAATTATAACTGGACTGTAATAAGGGTTATGTGAATGTGGTCTTGCTCTCTGGAAATATGTTAGTGTGCTGCACTTATCCTTCTTGTGATGACTGAGATGATAACATGCCTAGATGATGAGAGGAAGATGAAGGACACAGGCACTGTGATGTAGCATTAGGCTGCTGCTGACCTTCTGATGGTACGTCAGGAGGATCATTTGCTTCTTGACTGGGGGTTGACCACAGGTAACTGAAATTGAGGAAAGCAACACTATAGATAAAGGGGACTATTGTAATGTCTCTTTTGAATAATTTAAAAAGCAGAAGTGTCTGCATATATAAGTTATATGGATATATTCATATTTATATCAATTTACATATTGAGGAACCATACGTATCTTACCCATTGTGCACTGACTTAGACTTCAAAAGCGAGTATGTAGGCATTGGCTTTGGCAGAGAGAGGTCCCAGATAGGGGTGGATTGCTGGATGCTTCTTTTTTTTTTTTCCAATTGGATAACGTTCCATACAATTTGAAATTTTTTAACCAAGTACCTTCAATGCATTTATTTTTTAAAAAAAATATCAGTGAGCATTCTGAGTAAATCATTACTGTTGGTCTTCACTTTTATATACTTTAAAAAACTCTTAAATACTATTTTACAAAATAATAAAGCACTGTGGTCGAGTTTACCAAGATCATGAAGCGTGAAAGACGCTCTAGCACATGAAGGACTGTGCTATTGTCAGGAAATCAATTCAAGTCGTCCATGTAATATTCTCATCACAAGCAAAAGTCAGCTCCTGCAGCCATCTTCCCCATATTAGGAATACATCTCTTATGTGTGTGGAGGGTAGATCTGCCTGGTGCAGGACAGTTGGAGATATTATTTCTATCTCTCTGAGCAAGAAGAGTTGAAATCAGTTACTGTAATTGTTTTCCTAGTCTATTGTGAGAGAATAAACTGCAAGACAAAGGCCTCTCTAAACATGCGTTATTGAATGGATCTAACTTTGATTCAGAATGGAGAAAAAATGGGTTGCCTATTTCCCATACACCATGTAGTTGAACACAGCAAACACTACTTTGGAGCAATTTCAAAAAGAAACAATAGAATGACTAGTTTTGGTCTTCTGAATTTTTTCAGAATTGCGACTTCTGGTGAGCCCCTCTGTGTGTCTGGATCAGAGCACACAGTTAAAGCTGAGCACTTCGAGTCACCTTTTAAAAACAGTGAAGCCACATATGTGGAAACCATGGGACTGGCGACGTGAACAGCTGTAAGCTAATCATTTTGAATTGTTATATCCATCATGCATTCTTGGAAACAACTAACAAGAGAAAACCCCTGAAGATATCCAGGGAGTATTACATGTTTGAATTATTAGCTTCTGTTACATAAAATTTCAGTTATCTCTTCTTAATAAAGAATGCCATCATTGATTTTTTTCTAGACTAATTCAAACCTCTCTTGCCAGAGAATAAACATTTGGGTAAATAGGACTCTTATCTAGCGAGTTACATTAATGGAAATAGAATGTGAAACCTTGACAGTGTGAAACTATAAAATTTTAACTTCCATTTTATACTCAAATGACATTGCCCTAGTCTATGAGTATGGCTGAATGAATTTTTTTTCTAGTTAATATTTTTTTTTATGGCTCTTAGGATCTAAGAAAGCAACTGCAGGGTACCAAATTATTTAAGTTACTTCCAGGGAAATGATTTTGTAATTTAGATAAATTATAGTGAAAAATTAAAAGATTTTCATTCTTTTATCCAAGAGACAAAATAGTTTAATTTTATAATTATTCGGTAGATTTCTACAGTTAATAGTATTTATTGAAGAATCATATGCATCTCCTGCTTACCTAGACTTCAAAAGTTGAAATAGCACAATCTTTTCATTGATCAAACTTAGGTATTTGAAACAGAAATGTGCAGAAAGCAAATAATTAAACATTTTGGGATCTTTTATGATTAAAATATACTTGTTTCATCACAAAATATTAATGTTAATTTTCCTTTGTAAACTGAAGTGTTATCTTCATACTTTAGCCCTTAAATTAACCCATAATTATCTGTGATGACAGTTATTGGGTAGAATCGGACTAGTAAGGAACATATTTTGGCATATTTTGGGTGACCTGTCCACTATTGAAAAGTATAATATCTTTTCTTGTCAAGGAGAAGATACAGCAAAGGCAGGCCAGAGCAGGACGGGGAAAATGTCTTCACTATTCCCTAAACTGTAGTTTGAATCACTTTTGTTGTAATGATACATACATGACCAATTTACATTTTTTAAACCTTTAAACCTTATTTTAGGCACTATTTCCCTATCTTTCTTTCTCTTAAAAAAGTTTTAATTAAATCTACCAGAGTGGAGAACTCTTGTCAGTTTGATCCCCTCTCTCTGTACCTGTATATCCCTTGGCAGTGACGCTAATAAGCAGTGAAATTGTTTAAGGAAACCCACACATTGAGAGCTGGGGTCCAACAAAGGATGAATGAGTGCACAAAGCTTCAAGGTAATGTACAAATGATGTACCCTAAGTTATGGAGCATTAAATATGCTGGCTTATTTTTTAGGAATCAAACAACAGTCCTTGCTCGACAAACAATCTTCAGAGCTGAAGAACTATCTGTGATTCTTAAAGCGTATGTGTTGGTGACATCCTTAACACCTTTGCGTGCATTCATTCATTCAACTGGCACAATTTGGAATCCACCAAAGAAAAAACGCTTCACTGTCAAGGTAAAATTTCCACTGAAGCTGTTGTTTCCCTCAGAGTATGTTAAAGTAGGTAAAGTGAGTTGAGCTGCCTTTCTCTGACCTTTATGATTATCAAATCCCATTGAACAAAGATTGCCTCATTTTATTGCTGCAAGTAGAGATTTTCATTTAATAGGTGCAGGTTCAAAAAGGAACTGGAAACAACTTAATTCACTAGGGATCACAAAAGCTGCATCTTGTTTTCTCAATTCATCATTGTAGTTCAATTCTTTGACCTATTATAAAGCTAATCCTCAGATGTGTTCTGTTTTCTTGACTTTCCACTTATTCAAGAAAAATATAGTCATTGCGACAAATGAAAATAAAAATTTTCCCTTATGTTTTTTCTTCATTCTTAGGAAGCAAAATGACTATTTTATTATAATAATCAATATGGAATATTTGCTGAGTGAAAAACAAAGCTCTCAAGTGTGCCTAAGCTAGAAAGCCCTGACATAAAGCATGATGAGAAAGTTTTCTGGAAAAACTTAGTAAAAAGCACAAAAAATTTAGTTATAAAAGGTAATTCAGGTTACCTCAGTTGAAAATAAGGTCTAGTAACAACACAATGGGTAAATTCTAAGAAGTTTCCAATTCTATTTTATTTTTTAAAAAGATTTTATTTATTTATTTGAGAGAGAGAGCGAGAGAGAGAGAGCATAAGTGGGGGAAGAGGGAGAGGGAGAACAGGGAGCCTGACATGGGGCTCGATCCCAGGACCCTGAGATCATGACGTGAGCTGAAGACAGATGCTTAAATGACTGAGCCACCCAGGCGCCCCAAGAAGTTTCCAATTTTAGAGAAATAATTGTTCAGAGGACAGGTAAGAGGAAAGAGGAAGAAACTAAAAGAACACACAACAAGTATCTTAGCCTGTATGTTCTTTCAGTTTCTTCCCATTTTCTCATATCTGTCCTCTGAACAATTATTTCTCTAAAATCAAAAATCTCTTCAAAGAACAAATACTACATGATCCCACTTATATGAGAATCTAAAACTGTCAAACTCACAGAAGCAGAGAATAGAATGGTAGTTACCAGGGGCTGGGGGAAAGGGGAAATGAGAACAGATTGGTCAACTGGTACAAAGTTTCGCCTATGCAAGATAAGTATGTCCTAGAGTTTTATGAACAGCATAGTGCCTACAGTTAATGATACTAAGATTTTCTAAGAGAATAGAACTTATGTTAAGTGTCCGTATCACTAAATAATACATACATATATACATATATGCATACATACATACATACATACATGGAGGGTAAAATTTAGAAGGAATAGATGCAATTATGGCTTGATTGTGGCAATGATTTCATAGGTGTATTTATCTCCAAATTCATCAAATTGTATGTGGTAAATATGTACAACTTTTTGTATTTCAATCATAATAAAGTGGTTTAAAAAAAAGAATGTACAAGTGCCTTTCATAATTTCAAGAGATTCAGAAGTGACTGAACCTGATGTTTTTCAGAATTTATCTTATATAAACTACATTGTAAATTCTGGAAAATCTTCCAGTGGTGAAAAATCTTTAAATGGCCCATTAAATATTGTCAATTAAGAAAAAGATCAGAGTGATAAAAGATACAGGTGTTATATTCCTTAATATAATATATGCCTGACATTTTAAGGAAATACTACTGGTGACTTAAGTCTTAAGCGCACTTTATTTTAAGGACAATCATCTTAACTATATCCATGTAGGTGGTTTTTAGTTAATTATGAAAAAGTGGAATCAAATTTGGTTTGTCTTTCATGTTATCTCCCACTAGTCTTTAAGTGGTTGTTTATATTTCCCTAAGTACCTTTCATCATTTTCAGATTTCCCTTTCTTTTAGGTTGAATTATATGAAACCGCTGATATTTGGCCATTTTTGACCTACAAAAATATTGCAATTTCATATGATGCAACCTAATATTTGGAACTCAGTTACAGAGAGAGAAAATGAATCATATTCCTCAATTCGTGTCACATTCAGGCACTCAACAAATGTTTACTCAGCACAGTCCAAAATCCCCGTTCTTGTAGAATTGCAATAGCAGTCTGTGCAAGACTCCCACATCTATTTATGCAATCCATTTTATCCCCATACCCCATTCAATTCCCTTGCTCCTCAAAAGACCATCATTATAATGATTCAATGCATATCTTTTCATTTAGATGATGGTAAAATATGCAGTTTTGTTTTGTCTACAAGTGCTTTTAATTTATGTAAATTGTATTGTATTAGAGATTTTTTCTTTTACTGTTTTTATGTGCAGCACTAAGTATTTTCAAGAAGGAAACATTCACGTTGTTCCGTGTACACCTTCTGTGTTACTTTTCACAGATGTACAGTATTCCATGTGTGTATTCCATTACAGTTTACCTCCCCACTCCTCCAGTGATAGACATCTTGATTGTTCCAACTCTTGGCTAAACCAAATAGCGCTTCAAATGTACAAATTCTTATATATGACCCTTTATGAACCTGCATATGATTTTTCTGGAGAATATATACTTGTCATGGGACTTGCTAGGTCATAGGATATGGGTTCATTTGATAGAATTAAATAATGCCAGCTTACCCTCCAGAAGGCCTGTATCAGTTTCTATGCCATGATCAGTCTCTTCATGTCCCCACAACCTGCCCAACACTTGACCTTTCCAGCTTGCAACAGGTGACAAGTGACATTTTACTCTTGCAGATTTGTCATCTCTCTGTTAACTTTATCCATAGTGTCTTTGTTGGTCAGGAATCTTCAATTGATTATTCAAATTAGTATTTCCTTATAATTCCTGCTTTGGAGATTTGGTTCCAGAAATCATTTCTTATCTCTAAGTCATGGGGGTGGGCTTCTCCATTTTCTTCTACTACCTTTATAATTTTTTTCTGGACATATAAACATCTTATTCAACTAGAGTTCACTTTTGATCCAGAATTTTTTTCTATATAATCAATTCTCACGGGCTAAAAACTCATCATTTCCCATGAATCTAATATCGCCTTTATTGCATAAATTCCCATTAGTATATGAGGCTGCTTCTGAGCTCTCTGTTCTGTTTCAGTTGGCCCACTTGTTTTTATTATTCTAGCAGTATATGTATATCTTGATACCTGGCAGGGAGGTTCTTCCTTTCTACTTTTTCTTTTCAAAATTAAATTAGCTATTTTGGAGACATTTATTTCCTCATAAATATTTTAGAATATCAAGTATTTTTTTAAAATCCTACAGGAATTTCGATATATAATTCCACTGGAATTTATAGTTTAATTTTTGAAGAATTGAAAGTTCATAATATTAAGTCTATTTATTCAGATCATTTTTTTCCTTCGTAGAGTTTAAAATTTTTTCTCCAAGAAGTCTTGTATGTTCTCACTTATGTTTATTTCTAGAGTCCTTAGAATATTTGTTGATATTCTTTTTGAAATTATATTGTTTAGTCCGTTATTTCTAGAATAGAGAAATACTATTTTTGAAGTTGAACTTGTATTTGGTACACTTGTTCCAATAATTTTACCATTAATACCATTGGGTTTGGGTTTTCAAGGCAGATGATTGTTTTATCTTCAAATAAGGTCATGTTAATCTCCTTCTTTTTAATTCTTATATATCTTCTTCCTTCCTTACTTCCTTCCTTCCTCCCTCCCTCCCTCCCTACCTACCTACCTCTCTCTCTCTCTCTCTCTTTCTTTCACTAATTTTGGTCAGAACCTCCAGTACTATCTTTAAAGGTAGAAATGAAAGTTAAATATTCTCAAATTGTTCTTCATCTTAAAAGGAATACAACTCAAATTTCTCTATTAAGTAAAATGCTTGCTGTGGGTTTTTGGTTTTTAATCTTTACAATTCCTGCCAAAATAGAGAGACTAATGACTAGCCACACTGTATCCATCATCGTTTTACAACTATTGCAATATATGGGTAATTTTGTTTCCTCTGCACCCTCTCCACTCCCCTTCCCAGACAATAGTTTATTTTGAAACAAATCCCAGACATCATATGATTTCATTTGTAAACCTTTTAGAGTGTAACTCTGAGAGAGATGGATTTATAAACTTTACTAAGTTAAATAAGTTCCCTTTTATTTTTAGTTAGCTAGAAGTCTTTACCATAAAAAGATTTTGAACTTTACAAATGCTTTTTTCTGCATTAATAAAATTATGTGGATTTTTTTTCCTCAAATTTTTTTTTTGGTATATGACATTACTAGATTTTCTTTTCATAGAACTTCCTTGCATCACTAAGATAAAAACTATGTGATTATTTGGGGATATTTTTCAATACTCTGTTGGATTTGTTTAGTTATGATTTTTAGGTCTATGTTCATAAATGATATGGACCTATAATTGTATTTTCTTTTTTTTTTAAAGGTTTTATTTATTTATTTGAGAGAGAGAATGAGAGACAGAGAGCATGAGAGGGAAGAGGGTCAGAGGGAGAAGCAGACCCCCCGCTGAGCAGGGAGCCCGATGCGGGACTCGATCCTGGGACTCCAGGATCATGACCTGAGCCGAAGGCAGTCGCCTAACCAACTGAGCCACCCAGGCGCCCTATAATTGTATTTTCTTATACTTATCTGGTTTTTAGAGTTGAGATTACTGGATAAAATAGAACTGGATAACTTTCACATGTTTTCAGTTTTCTGGAACAACTTGTGTAAGCTAGGAATTACTTCTCCTAGCTGTTTACAACATCCTCCTGGACTTGTTTCTCTTCTTATTGACTATTTCCAGTTTGGGCCTGAAGTCTTTTACCTTTTAATTCTGGGACATCTGTTTTCATTACTTTTGAGACATTTTTGCTAACTGTTTTTTCTTTCTTTCTTCTGCTGTCCAGATTTTGACCCCTTTGTTTCATGTGCTGATACCCCTTAAGAAGTATGCACATTTTTACTTACATTTATTAAATTCTTATTTTGTTTCCTCTTGGTTCTTTTTAATGATTTCTCTTTTCACAGTTCATTTTGCTACTGTCTTCTATTATTTCCTTGAGTATATA